AGTTCCTATAGAATGCAGACAGTGGGTAAATGTATGGAGAATAAATTTAATTTAACTATGAAATTGTGGGAAAGAAATATCTTTTATACCCTTTATTCAATAGGACAATTAATAGTGTAAAAGTAAATATCACCAAACATAAGGATAGATTGTGATTAAACTCATATTTAAATATGTATTTATGAAATTAAAGAATAATTACTTCGATAAATGAGTTCTACATCTACTACTTGAACACATATCTGTAAGCAGTGATATAAAAACATGCATTTTGAATAATCACATGCAAATGAGATGCACATTAAAAAGCAATACTAAGTTAAAACTGAAATGAAACCAAAGTTTAGAAAATAACACTCAAAATTATTATCAATTTTTTACAAATTCATATACATAATTTCATCAAAAACATAAAGAAAATTGTGATATTAAAATATATTTAAATAAATAAGTAAACATGTGGTTTCATTTCAGATATGGCAGAATCTATGTAATATCAATAGCAATGTGGCACTATGGGAGGCAAACGATGATTAAACAATAGAAAGCTTATGTCTAGAAACACTGAGGAACCTGCAACGAGTGATAAGCATACACAGGTGTTCCACTTGTCACATTTGTGCATGTTGCTCATATGCTAATTTAGGAGGGTTTTCTGAAAGCCAGACACTGCAGTTAATTGCTGTGTAAAAAGTCTATATACCCTGATCTCCCTGTATAGAGTAATATTCAAAATCTCCGCTACCACTTCCACTTGGTGCAACTTCAATTGTGGTTGCAACCACCGGTGTCACAATAGGTAAAGATGGGCCTGTTACATAGGATCGTAATAGAGTGGAATCTACAGTTTCACTGGTTGAAAACAGAGCACTGTCCAAAGTTTTACCGAATGTTGGCGTTACCAAAAAACTTTGATCCCCTGAACCCTCACTATCTCCTCCTTCTGACACATCTTTATATATAATAATTGACAGAGAACAGAAACACAAAATGGAAATAAAATAGAAAACCAAAAATGAGTGATGACAAATAAAAAAAAAACTTACACTGATACTTCTGGCAAGCATTTAAGATTAAAGAAGGAGAATAATTATCTAATACACATTTTTATATTTTATTATATTTGATCATTCTTTTAATTGTTTTACTGTCAATAAATTTGATGTAATTCAGCTACCAATGCAGCTACCAATCAAATATGGAATAAATTTAAATTTAATTACATACCAAGTTCATTATGTGCCATAGTCAACTTGCACAATATGTATATGTGGACCATGGTCTACATGTACCATGGCCTATATGTAGCACCAATACACATGATGGTCAATACATACCACAGACAATTTGTATTATGACAATGTGTGTGTACAATTCCATAAAAAAAAAAATTGAAATAGACTTTTTGAAAGCATCTATTTGGGTGAAATTATAGTATAAAATCATTACAGTATATCTGGCTGTAGAAAAATCTGTATAAATGTTAAATCATATTGGAAAATCATTTAATAAAATATAGATTCCAGAAGTGAGACAATGGTACCCAAACCTACATAAAATGTCTATGGTATGAATCATAAGTGAGTAGATAACAATGATGGGAATGGAATGGTTAACATGCAGTAGAAATGTAACCTTAGTAATTAATCATGGTTGACAATGTAATGAAGACGAAGTTATTTTAAACTTAATGGCATTTTGAACATTCAAAATAATGGCATAATTTCAACATAATAACACTTGTTACACAATACACATAAAACATACATAAAAAAGGTTTTTACTATATTTTGACACAACTAGTATTTGCAACATAATGAAGAGGGCTTAAAAAACATAACTTAGGATTCTTGAGTATAAACTTTATGTACTTGTGCATAGTGGGACACTGTGCACCTTATAAATCCATTGATTGATTGACAGTTTTACACTACGTAATAAATAGTATCTTACCTGTCTGACACCTGTCACCGGTCTTCCCAAGGGGACATCTGCAAATAAATCCAAGTACACCTTCTTGTGCAACACATTGTCCATCTCCACATGCCCCTGAAATCAGTGAAATCAACTCATAAGAGTCAAAGACTACAAACTTCAAGTAATACACAACCACAAATGAAACCACAATAAATTCAGATAAATTTCATGGTAGCTACCGGAGTAACATTGCTCGGCTTCCAGCTCACAATTCTGGCCAACAAAACCTGGCTGACAACTGCACTGGTAGCCAACTTCTGTTCCAGATTCCGAGCAGACTCCACCATTCAGGCATGGGCTGTCTTGACACACCTGGCAACTGGTGACACCAACTTGTGACAGAGCATCTCCTCCAAGATCAATATTCTCTCCTCCAATAATCACCTGACTCACACAACCTGGAAGAAAATGCATTTGAAGTTTCAGTTACAAAGTTCCAGTCATCCTTCCATGTTGCCCTTCCATTTTCATTTGAATAGCCTACAACATTTGGATGCTCTGCTATTCAAAAGCCGTAATATGACGGTATAATGACAATGGTTCAAGTATTATTCTTACATTTCAAATCACATCAAAATCAAATCAAATCTGAACATAAGAAAATTAGCAAAAAAGTTCATTCTTTGTAAAAACTTGCTTTGTAACTTACCAACAAATCCACCTTTTAGTCCTGAATTCCGAGCAATCTCTCCAAACTTAGGCACGCCACCAAGGTACAAGTGCTGTAATAGATCCATACCTTGGAACTGACCTCCAGATTGTCCAAAAACTTCATTCTGACCATGTACTAACATTTGACCTGCCTTTAGACTTCGCTTCAATGTTACAGTATGCCACTGACCTAATTCTAATGGCTCTTCACTTCGTATGATTGCAACACCACCTCCCAGTTCAAATCTGAACTCGGCGTGACCCCCGAATAGTCCGAATGAGAAGAAATCACCAGAACCATCAGTCTTCTGCCCATTATACAAGAGCATACCTGTATAGAAAATGCATGGCTACTTCTGAGTGTTTTTGTCACTTCATTGATATCCAGTGTTTTAGAGTTTAAACGGAAGGAGAGCAACACCGGAAGAACTGGAATACAATTTATTCTATAGAACTAGAATTAGAATGAGAATTAAGATTTATAACCAGAATTATGATTTAGAACCAGAATATGAAGAATCAAAACATTATAATTTTATTTTACTTAGTACCTTTTTGTACTGAATTCATGTATCATTTATATATCTATTGTATCAAGCAATGGCGAGCTAAGAGTCTCTTTTAGTGGAATAATAAAGTTCTCTTATCTATTATACGATTACAATTACCATTAGGGCTTTCAGGTTTGAATGAAATATCAATTTCAAATTCTTCGTATGCCTTCGATAGTCTAGGATACTCAATATAGGACAGGGGCATCTGTTGGAAGTATGGGACGAAGCCTGAAAAAAAAAAGAACGGTAAAAATGCGGTTTACTTTTGAAATATATTCACATAATTAACTTATATATTTAAGCAGCAGAAATAATCTGCAGTTCACTATCATTTTACATAATAATATATTATAATAATAATAATAATAATAATAATATTTTAATATTTAACAGGTAAAAATGAATTTCTCTGCCATTTTTTTTATATTTTTAGGCATATACTTTTTATATCATATTGTATTTTTATGGTGACCCTGTTTTTGGTGTTTGACACACTGTTGGGTCTTGAATAAATAAAGAGATAAACTTTTCTTCATAAAAATATTACTAATATTCAAATAATCATAACAATAATTGATAAACATACCACCAATGTAAAGTTCTGCTGTGTATTCCACTGCACCTTGCGTATTATTTGCTGTACACACGTAGGTGCCGCTGTCTTCCTTTACAACATTGTTAATGGTCAGGACACCACGTGAAATAACTCGGTTTGCAGGTAAATCACCATTAAGTTTTCTCCATGAGATCCTTGGTGAAGGATAACCAGTGGCGAGGCACGTAAAGACAACAACAGAACCAACTGCAGTTGTTCTACTGGGTGGTTGGATCACAGCTTGTGGGGCAGCTGATGGAAAAATACAAACAGTAATGCATACACCATTATGGAATACTTGTAGACTGCTATGATCAATAATGATTAAACTATTTGAGCTCTGACCATTCAGTCATTGCTTGTACTAGTATAATTTATTATGATATAACTGACAAAATTAGTAAATCAAACATTTTTTTATTAAAAAAAACACCTACAGAAATAACATTTGCAGAAAATACTGAATGTTTTTCTAACGCCCAATGCGGTAAATTAGTAGTAGAAATCGCCAGTAGTAGCAGTAGCAGTAGTAGTAATAGTACTAGTAGAGGGAAGTATTACAGTATTAACAGTGCATAGCTTTCATGACTTACATTGAACATAGAGAATAACTTGGGAATGAACAGAGTCAACAACATTGGTGGCAACACATCTATATGTTCCTGCATCTGCCAGCTGTACTATTGGTATAGTCAGCATACCTTCTTCTATTTGTGCGCTGAAAGGGATTTCAGCATCGACACGAGTCCACTGAATTGTGGGAGTTGGGTCACCGGATGCTTTACACTCAAACGTAACTGACTCACCGATTGCAACAAACTGCACAGCTGTGTGCACAGTTATCTCAACAGCAGGAGGAGCTAAAATTTCAAAAAGCATTTTAGTAATACTTATTTTTCTTTTTTAATTGTTACCATTCAAAACATCAACACTCTTTCCACAGCTGTTGTATAGAAAATTAAAATTACAAACTAAATCTATAGCATTTCCTTTATAGATTTTAATGCTTATAGCTTGATAGCAAACTTTAAATCTTAAGTGTTAGAAATATAGAGTAGCACCTTGAAGAGTCAGATAACCAGTAGCTTCAGCACGACCAGCAGAGTTCTCGGCAGTGCAGGTGTAAGTTCCTTGGTCCTCTAGTGCAAGGTTACTCAAGCTGTTCAGATAAGGAAAATCAATGACAATGAGACATAAGTGAACATGTCTATGTTAAACAATTAGATGTTCACTGATGTTCTTGATGGGTTTTATGAAATCAACGAAACCAACGCCGGATCCAGCGGAGGGGAAGGACCCGCCGAATGCGAAGCCGACGAAACCTCCAGCGGTGGAGGCGAGTCATCCGGCGCCGCAACAAGAAAGTATAATACATACTCCAAGTATTGAAATACACGCCATCGTGTTGGGATTCAATATTTCGACATTAATTATGTCATCATCAGGAATCAATTCTGATGATGACATAATTAATGTCGAAATATTAAATCCCAACACGATGGCGTGTATTTCAATACTTGGAGTATGTATTATACTTCCTTATCTGAGATTAATCAGTGGACCTTTCGGTTTTTGTAACATGCAAAACACTAAATATGATTATAACCACATCAATCAAATGAAGCAATATACTTATAATAATTAGAAACTATAATAACTAGTATCTGTATAAGGTTTATACAGCAATATCACAACTAAGAACAGATTATTTGAGGACACATCATTAATGACACCTAGTTACTAAAAAAAAAAAAATCACTTTCCATTGTTATAAACTTACATCAAGTTATTGTTAACTACTGATGCCGTGTCAGGCAGGATACCATTATCTTTTCTCCATGTGATCCTTGGAGGTGGTGAACCAGCAGTCACATGACAATTGAACTCAACTGAGGATCCAATAGCACGCATCAGACTGAATGGAACAACAGAGACAGTTGGAGGTACTGAAAAAATATAATAACAAATATTTCAAGTTCCTGATTGTATATCTTATATTATCCTAAAAACATTTGAAATTAAACACGTATGAATCAGAAATACAGGACAGATAAAAATAAAAACGATGAGAAATTAACCAAGATAAATCTTAGAATAATAGACAGGCAATTAGTAATTGAGAAGTGAGTAACTAATAAACTGTCGGTAGCACTTAAGAGTTGGTGGTGAAATGGCCTATGACAAACAACATAGCGAAATAAACAAAATGTCGGCAGTCAAAACAACCGAGAGCACACTGTAATCAAAATAGTGACAAAGAGTTTATATAAATGATCAAAATTATTACATATTATTATATATATAATACATATACATATATATATATATATACATATACATATACATATATATACATATATATACATATATATGTATATAGAAAAATATGGAGACGATGGTAAATGAAAATACAGACATCGAAGGTAGACTTAAGGAACACTTTTGATGTCTATGAGAGTAAATAATGAAAGTAGAGAGCTAAACATAGTGGCCCATACAAAATGAATGAAATACACGGAAAAAAAATTGAACTGTATAGTTAGTCCAATCACAGAACTATAAGTGATAAATAAAAAAAATAATACAAAGCTATAAAATAGAGTGAAATAAGCAAAACTAGATATCAAGTAGCCCAATCAACAGTGCCATGTATAAACTATTTGTTATTTTAGATATACACCCTTTATTATTATGTTAATGTGACAAGATGATCTGTCTAAGCTGTCTTCACTTACACGCTGAAGAAGGTTGTAGGAACAACCAAAATATATGTGAAACTTATAATAAATATTTTTGTGTTCCTTAAGTCTACCTTCGATGTCTGTATTTTCATTTACCATCGTCTCCATATTTTTCTATATATATATATATATATATAACTGACACTGTAAGTGCTACTTTTAAATAAGTTCCATGAAATATCTAAGTATGTATTATACTATCTTATCTGAGATTAATTTTGGTTTTTATGTTCTAATATAAAGAATCGTGAGAAAGACACAATTGTAAGTCTACAAGAACTGACACTGTAAGTGCTACTTTTAAATAAGTTGACAGATATATACTTATATAATTATATAATTTTATACTAAAATACAAATATATTTCTATCACATGGCAGCTGTTCAAACAAGTAGTTTATTTGAAACCTTACCAAGTACAGTAATGTCAGAATAGCTACGGCTTGTACCAGCCTGGTTTGAGCAAGTGCAGATATAACGGCCTGTGTCATTGGCTGATACAAAATGTATTGTCAGCAAACCATAAGAATCGGTGGTAGCAGAATATGGTAGCACACTACCATCCTGAAAAAAAAGGAGAAAAACCTGTCTCATCAACATGTATAACCAAAAAAGACACAGTGCGGTGATGAAATGCTTCAAAAAATAAATAGTTGTTTTTAACTACGTATTTATAGTAGATATTGTAGTATCTTAAAAAGGAATAACAACTGCTAAATATATCATAGAACAGTAAACTAAATGAAATCTGCTGCCCTCTATAGTAAGTGCATACCTTTTCCCATTTGTAGGTAATGGGGGAAGTGCCTTGCTTTGCAATGCACTGTATACGAATTGTCCCACCTGCAACAATGGTTTGCGTTCTTGGCATAACATCAGCAACTGGAGGAGCTAGAGGAAAAATCAAATAAGTACAATAAATAAAATTGTCATTATTTTCTTGTTTTGAATTTTGATTACCAGCTTTCAAAGTACCACCTACCATTAACAATCAGAGACACAACAAAACGTTCAAAACCGGATTGAGTTCCAACAACACAATAATAATCGCCAGAGTCTTCAGCCAGCGAATCATAAATTGTTAAGACTCCGTTATTGGTTCCATGTGATTCCGGCATTTCCATATGTACACGCCTCCACATGACGGTGTAGGACCCTGGCGCTGCACCTTCAGTGTTACAAATAAATATAAAATTCTTTATCAACTTTCAATATATCAAAATCTGCTTAGCATTAAATGGTCTTATCTAGAAAATACACTAACATTAATGGAAGGAATTAGTTTATATTCCATAGATGAATAATCATCATCATCATTATCCTCATCAGTTTATAGTCTATTATTATTTCATGCAAGCATGGGTTAGACTGTACTTGTAATGGCAGCTTTCCATTCTGCACAATTCTGTGCAAGCTCTTTTTCAATCCCTTTGCACAAAGGTCATCTCTAATCATGTGAGCCCAGGTTTTGCAGGGTCTACCACGTCACACTGTTACCATTAACCATAAGATGTTGGACCCAGTTATTATAATTATGAACTACTGTATATTATTTTCTTCCCAATGCCTACCTTGAACTGTACAGCTGAACTCTGCATCCTCTCCCTGTATGACTCTCAATTCAGTTGGTGTTACAACAACCTTACCAGTTGGGTCAACAGGTACAACTAAATCAAGACAGCAAACCAGTACTCTTGTGAAAATGATCAAGCAACAAATTTAAAATGCAAATTAATTTGGTTTTAATGGTGGTTAAACCAGAAACAGAGATGAAAATTGTATAGACTGAGGGGAAATATAATACAATCTAAAAAAAGCCCACAAGATTCTATAGTGGTTTCGCCAAGGTAAAGTTGGTCATAGGTAATTCAATGCAAACACATCTAAAAATTCTAAGAGAAACACTTGCACTAAGAGAAACACTCGCACTAAGAGAAACACTTGAACTAAGAGAAACACTTGTATGGCAAGCCATACAACCAAGGCTTATTACCAGGATAGGAAGCTGGCTGGTTTAAGCCATCTAACTTGAATTAGCCTTATGTGTAGTATTGTTATGCTAATGAGCCAGATAGACACAGTCTGCACATGCTCAGAAAAACAAAACTTTCCTTTGCCACACTGCAGCCCGCACTGCATATCGGCTATTCGTACAGCTAGGCCTGCTAAGGATTACAGTACGGTAAAACAAAGAAAAGGCTTATTAAAATAAAAAATTGGCATTTGTGAGCAATACATTTTAATTTTATATAAGTAAGTAGTAAGTATATTAATAATTTTAATGCACTAGTTAGTAGATAACTTAATGTTCTAATTTGTTATGGGTCTTTTTTCTGCATTTTTGTAAGCGGTTAGACATGGCCTAGGCTAGCCTATGTGATGTTCATTGTAATAC